TAACTCAAGAGTGAGCTTATTCCTGCAAAGAAATTGTACACGATTGCTGCCGTTCCAATGTAGAAGAAGCAAAAGGAGAGGTACGTTTCCAACAAGGGGATCAATATGATCAACCCATTCAACCGTACGGCCGAGCAGGTTTTCAGCATTGACAGAATGAACGGTGGGGCGCACGGGTCAATCAGAATCAGGCCAAGACACGCGAGCGGGATCAGAAAGTAGCATTTGTCCAGTAAGTAGAAAAACAAGAGAATTACTTTTGCCTGTAAAGGAGTGTCCAGTTCTTCCCCTTTAACAAATTCAATATTAATTTAATACTTTACTAAATTGATGATGACCACATAAAAATAAAGAAGATTAAAGAATAACCTTCCAGTATTTTGGTCTCGAAATCCTGGCAAGTATTCATCATTTGTATTTGAGATTTGTCCAAGTATGTCCTAGATGAACCCACTATTATGAAGTACATTATACAAAAGACTACTCCCTGAAACTTTCTTCCTCCTGGTATCGGCGTGAGATACAGGTGGCACGAAATACACACCGTGTAAGAAAGCAAAATTAAAAGGAGTAATTTGAACATTTTGTCGCCATGAGGGGTGTTGACGTGAACAAATCGTTTCAGTACTGGATTGAATTGAAATGGATAATATTTAAATATTTTTTTGCAACGGCGATAATGTGCTATGATTAAGGGTAAAAATTGCGTTGAATACATCTCAATTTATAGAGGTTAAGTTCTTATGAGAAAATTCTGCGGATCAAATTTTGTAAGACTGTCCTGACACGAAGGATATACCGTACTTGCCAGGAAAATGAAATAAGAAGTGATTTATATAGCTAAATTCCAAAGACACTCTAAGAAATCATTAGCCAGTCCTGGTCGGCAAATTCCTCGATATGCTTTCATGGAACATATAGTAGCTCTCATCTAATGGTGTGACTTTTATATGGTCGTCTAAGACAGCTAAAATCAAATAGTTTAAACACATATTAATTTCACAGGACAGAATAATTACACAACAATTAGATTAGGTATGAATTCGTTTGCCGGTATCGTTTGCCATGGAAGAACAACTAGATGTGGCAATTCTTGCTATCACCTCCATTTTAGGGGCTGTCCAAAAATTACGTAAAGCACGATCCTCGCAAGCATATTTAAACCTGGTCACTTGTACTTTTCTTGTCACATTTCTTAGAGGGTAACTGATAAGTCACCTTGTTATTTTACTGACAATGCGATGGTGTCAAGTGTAACCCTCCGATTTGGTTAAAATTTTAAAATCACGCGGTCTAAATCCATACAACTAAGGCGAATTGTACGACGGTTGGAATGTGTTGAGGTCAAAGTTGAAAAATCCCGTGATTTTTTCCTAGTAAGGAAGAAAACCCCACTCCTATTCTACTCGAAGGGCAAAATCGCTCGTTTTTCAACTTCGAGCACAATTATTTTCAAAAATTCCGACCATCGCAGAAATTGCGTCAAGAAACGTTGGTCGTATTGCGTTGGACCACATAATTTCAAAATTTCAACCATAATCAGAGGGTTGCACTTTACACTATCGCATTGTGAGTTAACAATCAGGTTTAAGATCAAATTATGTCGGCATGTGTCGCCTTCGAACTTCCCCAACTGACGTAGTTGTCAACATGTTTTCTTGATCGCATATCAGCTAGATTAATTAACATCATAACCCCACTTATCATTACTAGCTGCAGCATTAAATCCAGCTGTTTGGTTGGAAGTAAAATGTATATATGTTCAGATTAGGGCATCCAGAATCGGAAAATTTTGAAAAACCGGTTTTAGATTTTCCGATTTTGGAAAAATTTCGTAAAACCGGTTTTCGGTATTCTCCAAAACCGGTTTTCTACTGAATTTTTAAAATGTGTCAAGTATAATATTATACTTAAATTTACCACATACCTAGTCAGGTACGAATTCTTTTGATAAACTTCAAGTATATATTTACCTTATCAGCTGACTGCCACAGACTTCATCTTCATACAGCTAATTAGTAAAGCGATTGGTAATGTAGTCGAGAAAAAATAACTTCAAAATTCCTTCTGTAGGTAAAATGACAGCTTATTTGGTTAAGAGAGGTGGAATTTTTCAGCTCCATTTGGCTGGGATGCGTCAATGTGAAATTTTCAAAATCCTAAAAAAGTCCAAGGTGAGCCGGCAGACAATCGCCAATACCAGCAACAGGTACATGGAACCTGGTTGTATAAACGACAGAAAAAGATCCGGTCGACCTCGGAGTGTAAGGACCCCAGCCATGGTGAAAGCGCTGAGGGCAAGGATCCGACGAAATTCCCGCCGATCTCAGAAAAAGTTGGCCTCACAAAGAAGGTTTCAGTAGGAACAATTAAAAATGCCGTGAAGGAGGACCTAGGTGTCCGGGCCGTATGACAAGGCACCTGCCACAAGTTGACAAACCAACAACAATTCAAAAGAATTACTAAATACAGAGTATTGTTGCGCCGGTACGCGGGCGAAGACTACAGAAGAATCCTGTTTACAGATGAGAAGATATTTACTGTCGAAGAAAAATTTAAAACACCAAATGGCCGAATATATGCTAAGTGGAAATCAGACATTCCCTTACCACAAAGAAAATCTCGAAAATTTAATCACCCTAGCTCTTTGATGGCTTTGATTGAAAAAAGTCGGCAGCAGAACGCAAGACGCTGTTTTGCGCCAGAAAGGGTTACAGTGGAGGCCAAGAGTTACATGGACAAAGCTTCCAAACTTATCGTAAAACCTGTGAAGTCTGACTTATTCAAAAATGGAAGTTGGATTTTAAAACAAATCACGGCTCAGTCATATGGTTCAAAACTTGTCAAAAATTGGTTATGAGCTCGTTTCATCGATTTCATTTTATGCCAAGAACTCTATCAGAAAATGCAGACCTTAATCATCTGGACTATGACTTGCGGCTCAAAATTGAGGCCTTGATCTGCACTAAAACTTACATTGGTACAAAATTTCTCAAAAAAATTTTACCAGACGCTTGGGACAATTTTCCACTGGAAACCGTGCGTGCTCCAAGCAACCGGCCGCCTATCAGATTTTGTAAGTTTCTGTACTCCAGAAGAGGAAATTTTGAAACTAAGTATTTTTACAATATATACAGGTATGTTATGCATTCACCTGGAAAATTTGAAATAAGAATTATTACCCGTTATTTTTCTGCAGTAAAAAATGTTTATCAAAGCACTTCGTACCCGACTAGGTATGTGGTAAAATTTAAAGTTGAACAAACTTTGGGCATTAATTTGTAGAAAAACATTTCAGAACAATTGATTTTTGCATGAAAAACGAGAAATCACTAATATTTTGTAGTTCTAAAACAATTTTTGTAAAAAATCGAAAACCGGTTTTCGAGTGTGATAAAACCGGTTTTTTACAAAACAATTTTTTTTGGAAAATTATAAAACCGGTTTTCAGGGAAATCGAAAACCGGTTTTGAACCGGTTTTACAAAATCGGAAAAACCGGTTTTGGATGCCCTAGTTCAGACGTATGTGGGCGATTTTTGAATCAATATCGTTAATTAATTTGCAAGATTAATGGTATGATTTTGAGAGAACCCAATGTTTGCCTTTTCCGTATCCTATGAATCAAAATTGGCTACGTGGACTTCTAAATTGACACAGTGCTAAATACATAAATACATATATAACAGATTATCTAAAGAGATGGTTTGGTTAAGTTTACAAAGTTAGGATGGTGTGATTTTGATTTTTTCTTACATGACAAAATATTTAACCCTTTCCTTCGTAACGATGGATATATCCGTCCCTGAATTTCGAACGTTGCTGCGGAACAATGGAAATATCCGTCGGCATAAACTTTGCGTTGTGACGGAACAGAGGATATTTCCGTCCTAATTTCTAAGGCGTTGCGACGGAGCAACGGATTTATCCGTTGTCTCAAAATTCGGCATAGATACGGAAAGAAGGAAATATCCTTTCCTCTGGTCATTGACTTTATTGCGTAGTGAAGGATATTTCCTCTCATTGAAAAAATATTTTTTCCATGGATTTACACATCTTGAAAAAAAAAATCCGTTTTTGAGCCCGAGTCAGGGGCTGTGTATGTATGTATGTACCTGCTTTGTCCAGTGTGTCTCTGTTTGTCTGGTTATCAATAACTCTCGTAAATCTATCCTATCGACTTTAAATTTTGTACTACAAATTTGTATTCCTTTGTCATTTTTAATTTTCCGAAATTTCAAGTTAATAGAATAAGTTTCACGAAGGTCAAGACGCAAGACGGACGGATGGGCAACACAGGTACATAAGTCCTGGGTCGAGCTAAAATGTCTCCATGATTACGTCATTTTTGAAATGAAATGCCTCCGCAGAAAGTTGAATAATTTTTGAAGTATATCCATGGAACATATCACTAAAATTTACATTTGCTCCGTGATAATGTTTGGTAATTAAAAAATTGTTACGCCACAAGCTATGGTTGTGAGGCGTTGCTATTCCGCAGCAACGGGATATTTTTGAGAATTCTCTTACGAAGGAAAAGGTTAAGTTTTGTTAGGTTAGGTTGCAGGTACTACACTTATAATGATATCACAATATATAGTAAGTAGTATCAAAATGGGTTAGTTTTGTATAAGCAAATGCGTATAAATAAATACATACGTTTTTATCGTCACCATTTCCAAGAAGGGTTATAAATACACTAATGAGACTGAGGTACTTTTCCACCAAAGTTCAACGGCATTGGAAAAAGGGTTGGCTTTATTTATACATTGCTAAATACGCCGTGCTGATTATTTGTAATATACATACACTCTTAAAAATAATGCTACCCTTTTGAAAAGTAGTTGCCCTCCCAAAGTCCCAACTCTCTGCATACATACATATGTATTTATACTAAACCCATGGTAATGTTAACTTGATAAAGAGATATACCTACATTTATTTTCAAAAAGATAACTTTATTTTTAAGAGTGTATCGATTTGGATGGGATTTTTTCCTAAGTCCGAACCTACTTGATCAGTCCAACCATACCCGCTACGAGATATAGAAGCACACAATTTACAAATATAAACCTCTACGAACTAAAAATGCATACTTTCTCCAATTATTTAATAGTTTTGGTTATCGTGGCGAAAATATTCGTAGTTTTTTCGGAAATTACTCTAAATGGTTGGTTGGTTAATATATTTATAAAACATGTAGACTAAATACGTCACAATATTAAGGGTTGGTTATAAACTATGTAACCCAACGGGGGTCTAGGGGTCCAATGATATCGTCCCTATGTGACACATGTTAAGGGGGGATAGGGTATCTAGAACTTCGCCATTTCTTCGTTACATAATTTACGAACAGTCCCTTCGATATTACATATAATCCATTAAATTACATCGGTGTTTATGTATGTGCAGAATCCAACTACACCTTGAAAGGATTGATTGGAACGTCTTATTCCATCGGTCATGCAAACTTCATTTCCAACCCGGCCGACTTTGACACCTTTGATGAACAAATTTCCCCCGCCGCTGGAGGAAGCTTGTGTCTCGCGGAACATAACGACGCCCGACGACAGAATGGATTGGGTCCTCTCACCTACAATTCCAAGGTAATGGGGTGCACCCTCTTAAAAATAATTTCTAAAAGTAGATAAATGCATACTCAATTCTAAATTAAGTAAACCTTACTTGTCCCAAATTTAACGTGCGTACTTAGGATTTAGCATTATTTACTTCATATAAATAGAACTAGGAGTTCATCCACTTCGCAAATAAGGGTATCATAATTTTTTAGAGTGCACAAACCGATTAATCAGTACCCTTAAATTAATTGTAACACAAGTAGTTGCGTATTTTTAAATAAAATTACCAAGCGGGGTCAATCTAAAACAATAATTTGGTAGTAGCGTTAAAACTTTTCATCTCAATTTACCCAGCCGGGCTTAACTTACCCAACACCCGGCTGGAAGCGTTACTGGGTACCCGATATGTAATTTATAACGTTTGAACACGACGTACTTTATTAAAGTACTAGTCTCTTAAGCCCGCAATGCGGGCTCTAAGCAAAACGATTTTATTTAGTCAGCCATACAAATGTCTGCTGAATAATTGTTAGACATTTACATTCACAAAGAGCAAAGAAGCGTGGAATTGATTGTCACGTTGTATAGCACGACATTTAATGATAGAGTTCGTCAAGTCACGATTCTAACTTATGCAACCACGAAAAACCTTCATTTACAACTCTAAAAGGTGTGACCACGAAAAACGTTCTGCCGCGACTGTAAAGGATGTGACCACGAAGTACGTACAGACACGACTCTAAAGGGTGTGACCACGAAGAACGTTCAGTCACGACTCTAAAGAGTGTGACCACGAAGAACTTTCAGTCACGACTCAAAAGGGTGTGACCACGAAGAACGTTCAGTCACGACTCTAAAAGGTGTGACCACGAAGAACGTTAGTCACGACTCTAAAGGGTGTGACCACGAAGAACGTTCAGTCACGACTCTAAAGGGTGTGGCCACGAAGAACGTTCAGTCACGACCCTAAAGGGTATGACCACGATGAACTTTCAGTCACGACTCTAAAGGGTGTGACCACGAAGAACGTTAGTCACGACTCTAAAGGGTGTGACCACGAAGAACGTTAGTCACGACTCTAAAGGGTGTGACCACGAAAAACATTCAGTCACGACTCTAAACCGTGGGGCTACGAAAAACGTTCAATCACAACTCTAAAGGGTGTGACCACCAAAAACGTTCGGCCACTACCCTATGGTTATGAGCACGAAAAACGTTTAGTAACGACTCTAAAGGGTATGACCACGGAAAACGTTCAGTCACGACTGTAAGCGGTGCGACCACGAAAAGCGTTCAGTTACGACTCTATGGGTGTGACGACGAAAAACGTTCAGTTACGACTCTATGCGTGTGACGACGAAAAACGTTCAGTTACGACTCTATGGGTGTGACCACGAAAACGAAAAACGTTCAGTCACGACTCTATGGCTTGACCACGAAAAACTTTCGGTCACGACTCTAAAGTGTGTCATTGTTCTAACGTTTTAAAAACGTTTAGGCACTAAAAGCAAAAACCCGCCCTCTAGCGCTGAAAAACAGCCAACATCCGATAGGTGGCGCTGGTAGGTAATTAAAATTAGTAAGGCACAGGTCAAGTGTCAAGTATAGTGGGTGTGTCCAGGTCAGAGGTCACGTGTCAAGTATAGTGGGTGTATCCAGGTTACAGGTCAAATGTCAAGTCTAGTGGGTGTGCCCAGGTCAAAGGTCAAGTCTAGTGGGTGTGCCCAGGTCAAATACCATGTCTAGTGGGTGTGCCTGGGTCGCAGGTCAAAGGTCAAGTCTAGTGGGTGTGCCCAGGTCAAAGGTCAAGCCTAGTGGGTGTGCCCAGGTCACAGATCAAATGTCAAGTCTATTGGGTGTGCCCAGGTCACAGGTCAAATGTCAAGTCTAGTGGGTGTGCCCAGATCACAGGTAAAGTGTCAACTTTATGAGGTGTGCACATGTCACAGGTCGGATGTCAACTCTAAGTGTTGGGTCCATTCATGTCACAGAGTTGTATATAACAATTGGTTCATGTGATCCAGTCTCGGCTGATCTAAAGGGTGTGTTTCATTGTTCTCGTGTTCGTCAACGTTTTGACACTTTAGCGATAAACGCCCTCTAGAAACGAAAAATGCAACATAGTGCCCATACTGACGCTAGGTGACGTTAGCTTGGACAATGTGAGACACGTGTGTAATCATGCGCCAAGTTCAACTGGTAACACACACACACACACACACACCACTGCACAATTCTTGGTTCTGATTCTAAAACTTTGAAATTCCCGGCTATATATATTTAAATTAATTAATTCTCATTCTTCCCAGCTAGCAACCGCCGCACAGGGCCACTCCGACCTCATGTCGAGAACGGGATGCTTCTCCCACCAGTGCAACGGGGAAGACAACGTTACCGGCAGGATCGAGCAGGCCGGATATTCTTGGAGCGGCCTCGGTGAAAATATCGCCATGGGACAGACCAGTTGTCAAGACGTCATGTCCGATTGGATGTCCTCACCTGGACATCGGGCCAACATTCTTGGCCAGTATAAAGATTTGGGCTGTTCCCTGGCATCCTGCTCATCTTGCGGGGGCGGAAATGGATACTACTGGACGTGCGATTTTGGCTCGCCGCAATAATTTTGAAACAATTTATGTATAATCAGCGAAAATGCATTTTGCTATTTCCTATTCGAAATAAATATACTGAGGAAGTGAACAACTAGTTTAATTCATTCAATCAGCTTGTCCTTTGGGGACATTCATATATTTCATCATCAAAAGTTTTCAGGGTGCGTAAGTTTTAGAAATATCCCGCAATCAGCGTTAAAAATTAACATTCACGGATATTATGTAATCCTTATCTTTGGAAAACAAATCCAGAATCTACATAGTTTGACACAAGATATGTACATAGTGGGGTCATAGTTCCCGTGAATGCATTTCCGGTGATAAATCATTAAAGTATTAGGGCTATATGTTGGAAATTGAAATTTTTATGTATTAACAAGGTATTAATATTGTTTAGAAATCATAACTACTTTTTCAAGATTTCGTCCACGAGAACTTATGGTCGGACTATGTATAAAGGGAGTGTCCATAAATCACGTGATCGATCATAGGGGGGGAGGGGTCTGAAATTTGTCACCAATTATCACCAAGGGGGGGGGGTAATGGTCGGCAGTCACGTGACATGCCACGAAAAGTTTATCTTTTAATTTCTGAGGTCAGTAAATGTGAAGAGAGTAACAATAAAGTCTCTTCGCATACTATCACGCGCCTTAAATAAATTTAATAATATGTATTTACTTAATAGTGAACCTCTTTTATCTAAAATTCGTTATGCGGCGTATTTTTAAATTTTTACTTGACAATCTTGGGTCTGGTTTGCATATATGTACCACTCTTCCAAATTTCAGTAAACATTAATAGAACTCTCATTATTCTTTCAGAAATAAAGTGTATGCAGTTGTCCTTAAAGTTTAAGTTCGGGTACACTCTGTGCATCCTAGTGAGCGAGTTGACTTTTTCTCCTCGCCACTTACCAGTAATGTAAATGATTTTTGTCACTAAAACTTCTAATTTGCAGCTAATACAAAATGGATTGATTTCGTTTTGGTGGCAATAAATTCCCAAGTTTGTGATTTACAATTGCTATGTTGCATAAATTCCATAATAAATCTCGGTGAAAAGTATTGGACTGAAACATGATATGAGTCCATGTTTCAGTTCAATACTTTTCTCTGAGATTTATTATGGAATTTATGCAACATGGCAATGTTAAAGCACAAACTTGGGAATTTATTGCCACCAAAACGAAATCAATCCATTTTGTATTAGCTGCAAATTAGGAGTTTTAGTCGAAATTTTTCTCCTTTTCTGGTTCGCGATGCCCCGTTTTCAGTGTGGGAACGGTCACTCTCAAAGCAACTTTTTGCATGCAACTGCCTGCATTGTTTACATGAAAATCAGCTGCTCTCTTCGCCCCGCCCCCCCTCATTAAAAAAAAGTCTCTCAGCACAAAAGGAGACGCAACCGTCGTCTCTGTCTTTTAGTTATGAGACTTTTTCAACGTATATGCACTCTTAAGATGTCATGAATGCTAAATTACTTTGTATACTTACTCATTAGTATTAAATAATTCTTTCGATAATTTTAAAATTTAATTTAACTGGATTTAAAAAAACACCGGAATATTATTATTGGATTAATTTGTGCTATGGGTTGTCATGTCGGAAATAGGTCAGTTTAGCGAAAAAACTTTTTGCGAAAAAAATCCGCCACAAAAAATCACACTTGGCGAAAAATAGGTTTCATGCGTTTTACAGTAAGTTAGGTTTATTGTGTAACCTGTCACGTGACCACGGGGGGGGGGGGGGGGGGTAATGGATTTATCACCATTGGTCACCAAGGGGGGAGGGGGTCAAAATTGTCCAAAAATCGATCACGTGATTTATGGACGCTCCCAAATGACAACGTGCTAATTCATAAAACTTAACTAATAACATCGTACAACACCTTCTAAGCGGACCATCTTACTGGGCACACCTGTGCAAAGTAGACTTACAATACGAGCAGGTAAAGTAAAAATATACGACTTGATTCAGAGGTAAAATAAAGTCGATGTTAAATATAGAAACATTGGCTGCAGAAAGGAGTTTTCAAATTACTTACTTATTTATTTAAATTTCGACTGTCATATTATCTATTATGTATTCTATCCAATAAGCACTTTGTCCTGCTACACAGATACTATCAGATTCACCGTTTGGTCCAGAATAAACCCCGCGATCGCCACAGTAACAGCCGGACTAGTGTAGCATAAGGTGAATTGGCCAATCGCAAAGGGCATCCCGGTTACTTGAACGGCTGCAAATTCTTTCCGAAAAAGTTTTAACTCGGCCTTGTCCTTCGCGACGAAAGAAGCCGTCTCTTTTAATTTTGCCAACAGGACGGCTACCCCGGTTCCGAATCCGCCACCCACATTGAGAGCCTGAAATAACGTGGCGTCCACACTTATTGTTCCCCAGGTGAGGAATCGGAGGACGTAGAATGGTCCACCTGTTCGTAGCGTGACGATAAGGACGTATTTCAAAAAGATGGAGAATACAGCTAGGATGAAGATACCCGCGGAGCACCCTTGACTTTGCCCGGGGCGAACGACCGCGAGGACGAGGCGCATCTAAACCAAAAAATATGAAGATTTCAAAATTATGCGCGCAATTTTTACGAAATTTTTAATTATATCGCAAAAACTTATCTTGTATGTAATGTGTATTAATGTTATTCCTAAACTAACAATGGAGGTCTCCCAACGTATGCTCACAGATTTTGAGCAAACTAGCGTCAATCGATCACAAATATAATTAGTATGAAATTTGCAAATGGCACTACCTGCCAATACGCAGGTTTGGCGGAGATATTTGCATTAAAAGCGGGATAAATGCGTAGCAAATTGGAAAATTGAAAAATTTGCCATAGCCTTGGGGATGCGTTTTCTCCTCTTTTTATGCAAATATCTCCGCCAAACCTGCCCATTGGCAGATAGTGCCATTTGCAAATTTCATACTAATTATATTTCTGATGGATTGACGCTAGTTTGCGCAAAATCTGTGAGCATACGTTGGGATACCTCTATTGTAAGTACATTTTGGTTACCTGTCTGTAACCCCTTATAGAATCCATCCTTCCATACTGTACTGTTCGAGTAATAATAGTTTGCACCGCGTTAAACATTCGTCCCCCAAAAATAGTTGCGTAGCAAGACAAGCAAATGGCTCGCACAATTTCCAGCGATATTAGTAAACAGATGATGTACCGATGAAAAAAGGAGATTATGCGGAAGACGAAATTGTTGATGAATAAGCCTGTGACTTGATGAAGGAAGGGGACCTTTCTGTGGGTCCAGTAGAGGATCTGGATTACCGGATCCATTTCCATGACGAGATAGACGAGAAGCCCGATGGGTAAGAAATAGTGGGAGAGGAGCATGAACAACTTCATAACGATGCAGACAGGATCCCTTGGATGACACATAAATTTAAATATAACGTCGTACTAATTCATAACAGACCTAATCCTAAGTGCAGTCGATGTTTAATTCAGAAAGGACCTAAGTGTACAGAAAAAAGTAAAAAAAAAAGACCTATCTGCAAGTACGTATTTACTTATGGCTACATCTCGCGATATATGGAGAATCGTTTTGGCAAGATATAGCCCTAAGTAAATACATACTTGCAGATAGGTCTTTTTCTGAATTAAGCATCGACCGCACTTAGGTATTTTATGAATTAGTCAGACAATAAGTAAAACCCATTCATTAAATTCTATGAAATGCTAAAACCTGCACTACTACCCGCCACACTTTTCAGATGGCCGTTACGGTTTGCCACTAATACACACAATTAGTATGTAGTAGTACATATGCATTTGTACCACTTGTAGTATCTTTTTATACATATTTTGTGCATTTGGTGTGACGTTAAGAAATGGAGTTGATTTTTTAAAACTCGAAAAATATTCTTTACTGAGCAGAAATTTTCAAAAATTACCGAAACCGTTTAATGTAGAACAACCGTTTTAAACTTTCTCTATTTCGGAAGAAAATTTGCTATCGGAGTAAATCCGATGGTCATGGTCACCTGTCGACAATAGGTGACAACCGGACTGTCATCATACCGACCGGAACTCTTTAAGTATATGTACACTCTAAATAAAAATGAGCAAAATTTACTCAAGGCTGGGTAAAATAGAGGGTGACACAACTAAAAGATAAAATTGGGCAAATTTTACCCAACGTGCGACAAATTTCATGTACAACGTAGGGTAAATTTTACCTTTCGGTTGTGTCATCCTCTTTTTTACCCAGCCTTGAGTAAATTTTGCTCATTTTTATTTAGAGTGTAATGTACACTCAAAATAAGGTAGTAATGAATCATTACCATGCGGAATGACTATGTGGCTCTACCACGTCGGTTACGATTTGTCGTAGAAATGGTAATAATAAGTTTAGGGAAATTCAAATTCATTACCAAATATTAAGGAAGTGAATACCATTATGTATTAAATTTGAAATTCCCTGAACTTATTATTACCATTTCTACGACAAATCGTAACCGACGTGGTAGAGCCACATAGTCATTCCGCATGGTAATGATTCATTACTACCTTATTTTGAGTGTACTTCACAACATATTTATGATACATAATTTGGCAACGATCTATTCTTCTTACCTTGGAACCTTCAAGTTTTCTACCACGTGGTTATAATCACGTGCAACTTGTTCCTTATAAAGTTGCAGCAACATGTTTATCCCATTGTACAATTCGTCCCCATACTTCACAAAAATTAAGAAATGTTCCGCCATGAGGTACATTCCCATAATTGCGATGGCAATACAACCCTGGAGACGTAATCTTGTCAACGTGTCCAACCTCTTGCCGGGAAATCCTTCATAAACTGCTGCCGCTCCCAACCAACCTCCAAACATTGCTAGACCGCCAAGTAGGAGCGGGAAGTAATCCAAAATTTGAAATGATTTCCTCGTACGGACAACTTTTACGACACGACACTCCCTTTTAGACCATTCGATGGGCAACTTATACCGGAAGTGGTACCGGTCAAAGAAAATGTCTTGGAAAACTTTGAGGACTTGTGACTCTCGGGAGAAATGGTGGTACGGATGAATATTTTGTGGGGGAATCTTATAACCACAGTGGTCTAGTTTTGGCACCGTTTTTTGGACAGGGGTGCCTTTCATTTTAACGAGAATTAAGCGATTATGGAAACTTTAATTGTTCAATTATTTCCTGGGTTAAATTAAACGTTTATACATATACAGGGTGGTTTGAATGTCAGGTTACAATGGAAAATTTTTCAATTGAAAAAATTTCTAAATCTCCATTAGTTACGGAAATTTTGCTTCTAAAATTCAATATTTTAAGAATTTTGTCATCATAGTTGCTTAAGTTTTGATACAAATTAGTAAAAATCTTCATCCCAAATCCGTAACTAATGGAAATTTACGAATTTTTCCCATTGAAAAATTGTATATTGTAACCTGACATTTAAACCACCCTGTACATGGTAACATTTCAACATTGTGGGGAAAGTCCAATTCTTAATCATGGTGCATAAATAAATTAATAAAATGGATAGTGCATTAAAAATATTGAACACACTACATGAAACCCTTGAAGCAGATATTTCCATATTTTATTTAGGAAACTTCACGTATGTACGAAATTAGCTCATGGAAGGTTTACCAACTTTTTTAAAAACTGGGTATATATGCAAAAGCTAAACTGTATCTAGGACTTCAATGCGCTACCCTTGAAAAAATAATTCCATTTCCTCCATTTCAAGGAAGTCATTAAACTTGTCTAAACGCGGAGATGAAATCGAGAAATTTTGATTTGTCCTTCTATTTTTTGTAAAGAAACTGAATATTTAGAATGTGGTTTGTCCGACCGGAAGGGTATTTGGGTATTATCGTTTACTTATAAATAGAGAAAATTAACCAATTTTAAGAAAGCAATATTTATACCCAATAAGCTTTTAAATATTTAAAATCTACCCAAAAGTTTCCACTAAAAAAATACCAAATGACAATGCACTGTTTAATCTTCTTCCAAATTGAACGTTATAGATGGTTGGGAGAATATTGATGTCAAGGGAATAATTAATCAAGAAATAAATATGTTTTGTAGCGATGAGCCAATTTAATGATTTGAGTTAAGATTAGCTTACGCAATTCATTTGTTCCGATTAGTGGTTGACTATTTAAAAGACGGTAAATTAAAGTTAGAATCTTAACCTCTAATTTTACGGAACTATTTATGTACATAAATAGCTTGCATGTACGCAAATAATTACATACAAAAATACTGAAATTATTTAACTTTAGCTCAATGTTTAATACTGTATTTAAAAATATATTTATGACGTTTTTAGATACATACATATACATTTATGACGAATTTGATAAAATGTTTATGTTCATTTCCGTTATACGGGGCCGTTCATAAATTGTGTAATGCAAAAATCGCGATTTTCTAGACCTCACCCCCCACCCCTCTCCCCCACTCGCGTTACATGTAATTGATGAATGGCCCCTAAAATATTAAAATTTTCAAAGTACAAATAATGCAAACTGGCCAGACAGTAAGTACATAATTAGAACTAATTTTAAGTATAAAATATGAACCAAAATAGCGAAATTGTTTCAGTGAGCCGGGCATTTTGTAAATCTCATTCGCCTCTTGAAATATAATAAATCTTAAATATCTAATAAAATATTTATGCAAATGACTGTTATATAACACCAAAATTCCCATCTGTAACAAATATTTTTCTAGCTACACAGACATTATAAGATTGACCGTTTGGTCCAGAATAAACCCTGCGATCGCCATAGTAACAGCGGGACTTGTGTAGCACAAGGTGAATTGGCCAACCGCCAAGGGCATCCCGGTTACTTGAACGGTTGCAAACTCTTTGCGAAAAAGTTTTAGCGAGGATCTGTCTCTCACGATGTGTGACGCAGTCTTCTTGAATTTTGCTAACAGTAAGGCAGCCCCAGTTCCGAATTTCCCACCCACTCTGAGAGCTTGAAATAGCGTGGCGTCCACACTTATAGTTACCCAGGTGAGGAATCGCAGCGCGTAAAATGGTCCACCCGTTCGTAGCGTGACGATAAAGATGTACTTCAACAAGATGGAGAACACCGTGAGGATGAAGGTACCCACGGCGCAGCCTTGACTTTGCGCGGGTCGGACGACCGCGAGAATAAGGCGAATCTATAAAATATGTATCATGATAATTTCAAATTCGTGCTAAAATAGTATTGTAAAGCTGTAATTGCTAAACTGGGAGTTGTTTTTTTTCATCAGAAAATTAAATTTTACGCCGAATGCAAATTGTGTAAACGGTGTTGATTTAATTCGTCCCAATGACGGCTTTTTGGGCTCAAACTATATTTTAGCATAACTTTCAAACAAGCTACTATTTCTCTGTGAAATTTTACCTTGCCCTCAGTTAAGATAAGTGCTAATCATGAGCATTGTAAGATTCACTGGAAGAACCCAAAGTTTCAATTTTTTGGGTTACAAATTTGGGAAGAATTAACTCAGCATCTTTTATTATAAAGCACATTAAAATCATTTATTCTGAAATTTGTCTACCTGTCTGTACCCTCTTATAGAATCCATCCTTGCAAATTGTACCGTTCGAGAAATAATACCTTGCACCGCATTGAACATTCTTCCCCCAAAAATAATCACATAGCAAGAGAAACAAATTCCTCGCGCAATTTCCAGCGAAATTAGCAAGCATATAATGTACCGATTAAAGAAGGAGATTATGCGGAAAATGAATTGGTTAATGAATAAGCTTGTGACTTTATGGAGGAACGGGACCTTTCTATGAACCAGGTAGAGGATGTGGATTGGCGGATCCATCTCCATGACGAGATATACGAGTAGTCCGATCGGTAAGAAATAGTGAGAAATCAGCATGAAGAACTTCATAACGATGCAGACGGGGTCCCTGGGAAGATAATATGATTACAAGTACATATACTAGGTGGTTAAAATGTCACGATACACTTGAAAATTTTTCATCGAGAAAAATTCGTAAATTTCTATAATTTCTATATTTCTCCGAAATTCAAAATTTTAATAATTTTGCAATCAGCTTTGACAATAATTAGCAAAAATCTCAATCCCAAATCTTGTAAATATTACACATTTAGGGTTTTCCCCTTGAAAAATTGTCTATTGTACCGTGACATTTAAACCACCCTGTATACATATTAAATTCTTTACTGAATTTTTTGAGACGCTAAAAGCTGCACTAAGAATTAGCTCGTTAGAAAGCTTTTTCCATTTTTTGCTAATTTTTATGAATATCTCTACGGTTTTATTGCAAGCAATATTGAATCGTTTTGTAAGGATAGTTTCATACCTTGGAATCTTCAAGTTTTCTTCGTCTTTGTCTCCGTAATCACGTGCCTTTTGTTCCTTGTAAAGTTGAAGGAGCATGTTTATCCCGTTATACACTTCGTCCTCATACTTGACGCAAATTAGGAAATGTTCCGCGATCACGTACTTTCCCATAATTGCGATGGCGACACAACCCTGAAGACGTAATCTGGTCAGGGTGTCCAACCTCTTGCCAGGAAATGCATCATAAATTGCGGCCGCTCCTAACCAGCCTCCAAACGTGGCCAGACCGCCAAGTAGGAGCGGGACGTAATCCAAAACTCGAAATAGCTTCCTTGTACGGACAACTTTTACTACACGGCATTGGCTTTTAGACCACTCGATGGGCAACTTATACCGGAAGTGGTACCGATTGGAGAAAATGTGTTGGTAAATTTTGAGTACTTGGGCTTCACTGGAAAAATCGTGGTATGGACAGGAATTTTGTAGGGTAATCTTGTGACCAGGTTTGTCTGCCTTTTGTACCGTTTTCTGAACAGGGTAGCCCTTCATTGTAAGAAAAGTTAAGTAATTTCCTCGGAAGATACGTACAGGCTTAAATTTTTACGTGGTAACGAATATATAAAAATTAAAAATCTTATTTTTAATTTCCTTGGATTTTTGCGTAGTTGCAGATCGAAAATTTTCTTAAAATTTTTGGGACCAGGAACAAGTAAAGTGACCTGAATTCTTCTTTATGGCGTGGTAATTGATGGAGTTAACGGTAAAAATTTACGATCACACTAAAATAAAATCTCGAACTAGAAGATATATATATATGTATGTACTTATCACGGAAACTTCATTTCAGAAATTAATTTATGGGCTAGATATTTTCAACTAAATAGGTATGGAACAAAGAAACTGCAGGACTTTGATGCGTTAATGGCAATATCCTTGAAATGAAATATTGCTCTTTCGAAGAAGTCATTAAACTTGTCTACATATGTAAAGTTTGAGATAAAATCGAGCAATTTTGTCTGTTTCCGTATTCAAATACAAAAGGGAATTCTGCGAATAGAGTGAATATGTAGATAGTTCTCCAAGAAGTGGATGGGTATTTGGGTATTATCGTTTACTTATAAATAGAGAAAATTAACCAATTTTAAGAAAGCAATAGGCATCTAAATATTTAAAATGTTACCATCTACCCAAAAGTTTTCTACTAATTTAAAAAAAATTACTAAACTATACTTTAATCTTCTTTCAAATTAATGGTTAGATGGTTCGAAGAATATTGATGTCAAGGGAATGATTAATCAAAAAACAAATAAATACGTATGTATGTATGTATGTAGTGATGAGCCAATTTAATGATTTGAGTTAAGATAAGCTTACGCAATTCATTTGTTTGTGAGTATGTAGTTGTTGACTACAATACAGCAAATTAGAGGTATAATTTCAACCTCTAATTTTGCGTAACTATTTATATGTTAATAAATACATAAACTGGAATTAGTCTACTTTCGCTCAATTTTTAATGTTACATATACTCAAAAATACATTAATGATGGGTAATAAGTTTTGTTAAAGATTTTGCATATAAGTTTCGGCTTTTAGAGGCCGTTCAGAAATTATTCAACGCAAAAATCCTCCCGTTTTACTACATATGTATGATATGATATCATTTGAACCTTGACCCCCCTCCCACTTGCGTTACATAATTTATGAATGGTCCCCAAAAAGATAATAGTTCATAGTGCACATTGACGACACAGTAAAAATGAAATTTTCTACTCTTAGTAAAAATGACTTGATTAGAAATAAGTACACAATATATATGTACCAAAAAATGGCGGAATTGTTTCTGGAAATTTTGCGAAAATTCATTCTCCATCAGATTCTCTGATCTCTATTATCTTGCCTTCAGTTTTCTTTGGTCTTCCAATCCTCGCCCCAGCCACGCCCATCTTGACCTCTTTATCCCCCCTCTTCTTCTTCTTGGGCATGTAGTGGGAATACTTTTCCCGCCTGTCGGGATCATGTGACCGCATGTGAATATTCAAATACTCCTTGAGCCGGTACCTCTTCCCGCAGAGGGTGCAGAGATGCGGGGCGTCGTCCGGATTGATGTGAATCTGCTTGTGCCGATTCAACTTGGATTTTGATATCATTTCCTTGCCACACACATCGCACGGGAATCGGGGCGCTCCCTCGGCTCGCGATAAGTGGACGCGCTTAACGTGTGACCGTAAATTGTCTTGTTCTCTGAATTCCTTCCCGCATTGGTCACAGACGAAGCTACATATATTAAATTAATTCATTAGTACTTAAATCAGGTTTTTATGGGTTTTTTATTTGTACCAACATTAACGTATGACTCGACGACTCATAAAATTGTCAAAATCAAGACCTTTCAAATCACTTCCCTCCTCTGGGAATGTATTTCAAAATTCTGGACGTCACATTTGTAGTCAATAATTTGATTAATGGAATGACGATGAGTCAGTATCGAAGAGTTATAATTTTTCTGAAATTTCTAAACTTGAGATCTCTTCCTTAAAAAGTATTAAAATATGGAGTATATTTTTTTAAAACATGGAAACAACGTGCTCTGCAAATTTTTCGGAAAGAATTTTTAAATAAATTGTCAGAATTGATTAAAAATATGCTGATTTTGTCCTTTTGATCGTTTTCCGCTATGTAGATCCATATTTTTTAAAAGAAATGACCACTCCAGATTTTGACACTTTTTGAAGGGGGAGATCTCAAGTTTAAGAAAGAATCCTTCAGAAAAATTGGAACTCGTCGAACCTGACTTAAAAAACTCACTGTCATTCTATTAATCAACTCACAGAATACATATGGGTATTTATCGTCCTGAGTTAAATTCCCAGAGCTGAGAAACTATTAAACATGTGCTAATTTGTAGATAATTAATCGAGTCCATTCATACCCGGATTAATTTGATTACCTATTTCTCCCCGAATGATACATTTCCATATGCGACTTGAGCTTATGCTTGACTCCAAAACTTCTGCCACAACCCGGCACTCCACATTTGTACGGGTTGATCACACTGTGACGACATTCCGCATGGATTTCGCACACTTGCTCTGAAGTGAACACACCCCCACATGGTTTGTGCGGGCAGAAAATGGCGTGTTTAGCACAATCCGCGTTTTCTTTGACGTGGTCCTCAAAACCTTCACAGCGAGGATAGAATTTGCCACATCCGCGGCACGTGAGCGCTTCGCGGGGGATGTGACGTGATAGCACGTGCGTTTCCAGAGTGTGCCTCGCCCGCACGACCTTTTCGCACGTGTCGCATTTATACCCCACCGTCTTCCCGGAACACCAGTCCACGTGTGAAGACCTGTTCAAAAAATATTCAAAATTCATCTAATTTAAAAATATGAAAAAAATCACTCATTATTCATTTCTTCAAAATTTGAAAATATTAAAAACGGTTTTGATTATTCACTTTCTCAATTACACATGTAAAATGAATATACAGTGAATAAAATCATTCTTCATGAATATTATGAAATGGATTAAATCATTATTTATGAATTTAGCGAATAATGAATGAATAATTCTAGATTGAATGAATGAATGTGAACAGGTATTATTACCAGGATGGGATGGTAGCAATCTCTTTGGCACAGTGGGGGCAGGGGAAGGACGTGATTCTATGTTTTGTCGCGATTTTAGCCAGCCTTTCAAACTCTATCTTCCGCCTTTGGTATGGGGCGAGTGTTTCGTCCTGCACGGTGGGAGGAGGAGGAAACGCGGATATGATTTCTAGCCAAGAAAGTAAAACATCTGGAGGGGGAGAGGCTGGTTCAGAGTGACAATAATTTGGAGACGACCCACTTTTCAGAGATTCTTCACCGGAATACTAAGAATAGAAAATGCATACCATAATAATTTACATACATAAAATTGCAAATATTTTTTTATTTGACACTAACATCCGGGTCATGATCATCTTCGTCTGGATCTGATTCCTCGTCGTCGCTGTCAGAATTTTCCACGTGCGATAATGGAATAACTTTTACAACTTCTTGTTCTGCCTAAAAAACACAATATGTGTTTATCGACTACTAATTTATGTATGACTGGATGACTCATCGCCAAAATCAGCACATTTTAATCGTTTTCATGGGAACTTATTTTTAAATTTTGGCAGACAAATTTGTAGAGAAAGTTGTTGCAAATTTAGAAAAATTATGCAATCAAGATTTTCACACTTTTCAAAGGAGATCCCTAGTTTCTGAAGCCTTCAGAAAAATTGGACCACATCGCAACCAAACCTGCTTAAACGTATTGATTTTGCCAATTTTGGTAACGACTCATCAAGCCCTAGGTTAAGGAACTTAATCAAAATTCATAGTTTCTCAGCTCACGCAAATTTGTTTTCTTGGGCGTCCTCTTCCCCTCTTTGGGGGCTGGAATTGTTGTGTATCAGGGGTGGAAATGATTTTCTCGAATATTTCGTTCTCAAGATGGTTCACTAATCCTTCTTCGTTGTCTTCTAAATCGAATTTAAAATTTGGGGGATGAATTTCTACGTCTAGATCCATTCCATCCTTGCCGAATTCTGGAAAAAAAATTGGTAAAATTTCGTATTTTTTCCTCCATAAGCTCGAAAAGTACATACGTACATACTTTTCTCCCTAGTGAAATTGAAGCGTTGTTTCCGTTTGGATTTTTTCCCTAGATTTCTCTTCGACCGAGTAACGTTGCCAGTTTTAAGGGGAGGCTGAAATTATAAGAAATTGCGTTGCTTAAATACATACCGGAAGTTTTTTAATTCTATCGAAGATATTAGTGTAATCTTCGCAAAGAATTTGAAGTCAGAAACTAAAATTTGAAGACGCATGATAAATTTGTTTGCATATTTGTCAAGTTTCACAAATTTCACGTTTCATTCACGTTTGCCAAGGCGCTGCCTTACCCTTCCTAATTTTCCTTTAAGACCTTTATTTCTCCTTTTTGAAGTGGGTTGGCTCTCTGTCGAAGCAAAGGTCACGGGAATTTCGACGTTTTGCAAGGTAGTAGAAAGTGCATCTTCATTTCCAGGATCGATCTCCTCCTCCTCAATTTTCATTGAACAAATATCTGGATATATTTCTCCGCCAATGTCTATTCCGTTCCGGAGATCTAAAATTTGGAAAACGATATACATTAAAATAGGTTAAAATTTAATCGTTGGACAGGTAAGACGACGCGGATGTAATGGAGATCCCCCAGCGTATGCTCTCCGATTTTTTGTATCAATCCATCACCAATTAAATCAACATGAATTTTTCTATCTACCCATGTGCAGAGATATTTACATCCGAAGAGGAAAAAATGCATCACAAACTTCTAAAATTTCACATTTTGCAAATATACTGCGCGTTTTCTTCTCTTCAGGTACAAATATCTGCGTCAAACGTGACCATTCGGAGATTGTGTCGTTTTTTGCAAATTTCATATTTATTAAATTTGTGACACGTAAAAATTTCGTAAAAATCGTACAACAAACGCTGGGAGACCGTCATTTTTAACAGAGCCTAAAACCATCTTAGAAAAAAGATAGGAATTAATAACAAAATAACGCCACATTTTTTCCATTAATTACATATGTAGAATTACAAATTCTTTACCGCTTTCTCCTCCCACAATTCCGCAACATGCGAGGTGCCGTCTAATCGTCCTGGTCGCCGAGTCGCCCATATCGTGGTCGCCGTCATCCTCCCGAATTTCCTGCTTCACCGTGACCAACTTCTTGACCTCCTCCTTCACAGCGTCAAATTCCAGCTCCAACTTCTTAATCTGGTCGAACAAACAGGTCCCTTGCGTCACAATGTCGTCACAGGTGGGACACAGCGAAATCCAGTCGGCCGGATGACCGTGCTTGCGTACGAGATCTTCACACACGGTGGGGGCGAGATTGAGCAGTTTCCTGAGGAGGAAGATTACCCGGGCGCTACGGTCAACTAACGGGGGCGTGGTGGATAAGGTCGAACTTGTGTCAAGTATAGCAGCACAGCACAATAGACAGGAATCCATCCTGCCAAAAATTTAAAGAAAACTTTACAAAATTTGAAAAATTAAATGTGCCATGTGATTTTATCGAATAAATAATTTTTTACATGATACGAGAAGCCATCCCTTATCACGTAATTTTAAAATACTTTATACAATTAACTGACAATCTAGATGAATAAATATTGAATATTTTATAACAAATATGTACTTGAAAAAAGTAAGTAAATAATTTACTTTTATAGATGATTCATCTTACCCGACTTTATGTTGCCGAAAAATTAAGAAGATATGTAATTTACTAATTGCACGTTGAAATTATTAGTTTATTTAGATAATTATATGCATTTATCTGCACCATTTTAATCAGGTAAACACTTTGCAACTGAAAGTAAACAAAATTCCAGATTCCAGCTGATTTCATGTGTTGCAAGTTAGCCGTGGCCGAGATGCAATTTAGCCGTAGCCGTGGCCGATGCAAGTTAGCCGTGGCCGTGGCCGAGATGCAAGACAGCCGTGGCCGTGGCCGAGCCGAACAATTTCAAATCACCCCAAAAATTTCACTTTACCCCAAAAATTTCATTTTACCCCAAAAATTTCACCTTAACCCCAAAAATTTCACTTTAACCCAAAAATTTCAGTTTACCTCAATTTTGTCTCACTTTCCCTCAAAGCGGGAAAATTTTAGGGGTATACTGAGAAGTTGGGGTAAGATGAGATTTATGGTTTTTAATGTGAAATATTGATGCTCAATCAGTTTCCCGCTACGTTGGAGTGATTTCGTGGACTTTTGGGGTGTTTTGAGATTTTGGGGGGGTAAGATGAGATTTCAAATTTTTATGACAGAAAATCGAATTTCAATCAGTTTTATCAAAGCGGGAGGATTTCTTTTGGGTTTTTAAGACTTTGGGGTGTTTTGAGATATAGGGATAATATGAAATGGTGAGTCATGGAACAAGATGTAGATGGAAGGTGGAGAAGATTGAGAGAATGGGCATGGCACTGAGCGCCCTCGACTGAGATAATAATACACAGTAGGTATTGCACCCTACCGGCCCCGAGTTCTTTTTTTAACTAATTATATACGGATAGGTATGTGCGCCACCATCGCATCAGCTGCTATTGAATTTTTTTCTCAAATGTATAGCCAGCCGTGCCGGTTGTGGTGAGTATACAAACCCAATGCTAATTAAGGTAAGCGATTTCTAAACACATTTTATTTAAAAAAATCGAAATATGACAAAAAATAATAGGGCAGTATAAATTAAATAACCTAAGTATAGGCTAAAACATTCATACATGGCCCACCTACTCCTACGCCAAGCGTCAGCCCAAGGTCAGAACAGCATCCCTTTGTTTCCGCTAGGTGCGTAACGACCGAACCGTGGGCCTACTGAATGCAGGGGTAAGTAGGCCGCCGAGGATGTGGCCTTGATGCAGGTATTAAGTTGGCCCCATACTCTGTGACAGGGCAAGTACTTTCATATCACTGATTATGAGGCCACCTCTGAGGTATTCAAGGAAGGTCCGCCCACCCTCAACTTCCAACCGTTTATCGAAGAAAAAGATTAATGGCCGAATTAGGGTTTTGAATTTAATTTTGATTTAAAAAACAGTCCTCCTTACTTCCGCATCCACGGCCATTCATACAACACATTCACACAATACTAAACTAATTATTCTACTATACAAAACGAAATATTTCGAAACTCGAATAATTCGAACTATAAAACATGAATTGTGTATTGCGTACATGAGTAAAACAATGTTTGCAGAGGTCAGTGACAGCTCGAACGAATGAAAGGAAAATGTCCGCATTATTTGTGTGTCGTTTCATCCACAAAACTCACATAGATGGAGATCCAGGGTTGCATCCTTCCTACTTCTCCCCTCTCGATGCGGTTCTTCAAAGGACGCCAGTTGGATTCAACTGTATTTGTGTGAACACCGGTTTACGGGTCCACGAAGGTTATTGAGTGGTTGACAGTGTTGAGAGCAGTGCTGGAAATCATGGTCGATGAGGCAGTCATATACTCTCTAGCAGTCGGATAAAATAGTCGTTACTGGAAGTACATGCTTCTTAATTAAAGCCAGTAAGGTGGCAGCATCTCTCTTGTTATCAGGGCAGATCTCCAGACGAATGTTCTAGGAAGCGTTCCACCATGCCGAAAATCCAATGCCCGTCGACCATACGTTCACGGTTGTACTTTCGTTTTCCAATCTGTATAGACAATTGTTTTACAAATATTTCGCATATTCGAATACGAATAATTAGTTATAATAAAAGTTCAATTATGTATAAATACTTTGCTTTCGTCAATTTCGACAATCTTCCCTGGGCCACCGATTTTCCCGTCTTCTGCATACTGCTTGTCGAGACTTGCCATTCAGACTTCTCTACCTACAGGTACCGTAGGAGAACCAACCCACAACCATCCACATCTGCCCTGTTTGGCAAAATCCCCTGCGCCCAGTACCACTCCAACGTCGCATGGTTGGATTTGCAAATCTGGCTAATGAGAACAAGGTCAGATTGAAACCTGTAAAATTATTTTAAAATTTCAACACCATGTTGAGCCATAAAATATATAATCTTGTTATTCCTTATGACCTCCTGGCTCCCAATTACTTGTGTATTACTTTGTTACTCAACGTTACTTTGCTTACCAATTGCATATATGTGTGTAGGAAATGTATTTCCACTGGGTACCAAAGTATTTTTGGAAATCTCACATTGTCGAATTTTACAACATGATAGACATCCATTGACTACCAGAATTTTTAAAATCTCCGACATAGTTACACACATCTGTGTACCTGGTACGCAATGGAAAACTACCTCGAGTGTAATTAGTAGATAATGGAAATAATTTGCTACAATGCTTAATTTGTGCGCAAAGTAACATTTCGAAAAATAGATTGGTAGTCAAGGATACAAAATCGTTACACAGATGTGCAATTTGGTACGCAACGAAATATTCCCGAAATTTAACTGGCAGAAAGGAGGTTAATAATAACGAATTATAGCCTAAATTGAAATTTTTTGGGGTAAAATCAAATTTTTGAGGTAAACTGAAATTTTTGGGGTAAAGTGAAATTTCTGGGTTAAAGTGAAATTTTTGGGTTAAAGTGAAATTTTTGGGGTAAAATGAAATTTTTGGGGTGATTTGAAATTGTTCGGCTCGGCCACGGCCACGGCTGTCTTGCATCTCGGCCACGGCCACGGCTGTCTTGCATCGGCTACGGCTAAATTGCATCTCGGCCACGGCTAACTTGCAGCACATGCTGATTTCAAATACACAAACTCGCAGATTTCTGATTTGAGACAGTGCAAGCGAGGGAATCTCTCGTTTTTATTTTAGCTGCTTCAATTATACAAACTTTTCAATTTGTAAACAAATTATTTTAAGAAATTAAATATTGCTATTAACTATTGACACTAATTTTTCTTGAATACTGATTCTACAAAGGCAGGTAAATATTTATACTTACGAATACAAAGAAATATTTTCCCGTACTTACTTATTTGTATTTTGAAATTTAATTTTTTAAATAATTATTCAATACCCCTGAAGGTTGCAGTATAAGCTTGTACTATACGGCATTATTTAATATCATCAATATCAACCTTAAAAAAGTGAGTGACATTGTTAACTAATAAGGCATACATTGTTTTCGAAATTTGGAAACTTTAATATATTTTTGTTTTCATTTTCAACTTTTCTTTTAATTTTTGGCAGGATGGATTCCTGTCTGTTGTGCTGTGCTGCTATATTTGACACAAACTCGACCACACCCCTGCTAGTTGACCGTAGCGCCCGGGTAATCTTCCTCCTCCGGAAACTGCTCAATCTCGCCCCCACCGTGTGTGAAGATCTCTTACGCCAGCACGGTCACCCGGCCGAGTGGATTTCGCTGTGTGCCACCTGTGACTACATTGTGACGCAAGGGACCTGTTTGTTCGACCAAATCCACAAGTTGGAACTGGAATTTGACACTGTGAAGGAACACGTCAAGAAGAGGGTGGTCAGTGTGAAGAAGGGAATTCGAGCAAATTATAGCGGCGACGCCGACGACGACACGGCGACCGCCACGATTAGACGGTACATCGCCCCCAGTGGGATTGGGGGAGGAGAAAATGGTAAAGATTTCATTAACCAAGAAATACGGTTCAATTTTGTGACCCATTTTTCGAAGATGAGACTTTTACAGTGTTTAAAACGTCAGGATGTATGTATGCATACCTTTGCAGATTCATTTATTCAAGATGGAATGGACTTTTTCACTCATTATTCCTTAATTATTGAGTATGTAATGAGTGCATAATATTACGTATTAAAAATTTTAGAATATCGAATATGAATTATGAATATCGAATAAATACGCATTCATTTGTTTCATATTCATGATGCATGATTTATCATTCTTTCTTCATGAATCATAAAGAAAGAATGATATGTACATTGAATAATGTTTTTAATTTTTAATTTTTCACGTTAATTGGCGTATGGATATTGATAAGGCGATCTTGAGATAAATGAAAATAAATGAATTTATTTTCAAACTCTGAATGAATGAATAATTAATGAATACTTATTTTCCAATTTTTAAACTGGGTGACCTTTTTAGACTCGGTGACCCGCAGGATTACACGACGCAACCCCGGTGAAAGAGTTGGAGGAGGAAATGGCAAGCATATTTAATTGACGAGTTATAAATGCTTCATTTTTTATTTAAATTAATATTTTACATATTTCCACTACATATTTTAGGTTTACACTGTAGCCTGAAGGGAACAAATTCTGATGAAGAAATAGCTCCGGCGGAAACATTGGTGAACGTTGAGATGGATGGATCCATGTCTGTCGTCGTGGAAGGGACCGAAGACCAGTCGGCCCTTAATGCAAGCGAAATCATCGAGAATTTCTTTAACCCCCCACAAAATCCAAGTCTTCCCAAGAAGAAAAAGACAGTAATTCGAAGAGCATACAAAAAACGTCAGGTGAGCCTTGAAAACCTTCGATTAATCATGTTCTTTATATCAAAGGTATGAGCTTCATTACTAACAAAATTAATCTTATTAAGTGAATAACTCTAAATAATTTAGTCAGTAAGTAAACTAAGAAAACCATGTAAATGTATTATCTCTATGGGCCAAGAGTCTGAGAAGAGATTAATAAATTCTTATCTTATATCAAAGGTAACCAATTTTGCAGTGTGCCTAATTGTTCAGTGCCGGTGCCCCGATGTTATAAAAATAAGAAATTATACTTATTGCCCCCGGCGAAAATGCTACGGGCGGCTTCGTTTATGGTTTCTCATGACGTTTAGAATCACAAGCTTATATTTAAGAAAAGAAAGTAATGTTCCCTTTTCGAAAATTGAATACACTATGAATTAAATTATCCATATCAAAAGTAAACTTTCCTCTTTATCAAGTTAACTTTAATCTGGATTTAATTGTTTACTTAATATAAAAAATTAAGTGAAAAGTATATTCACTTTTCAACAGGGTAACTTTATTTTTCAAAGTGTACCAGGTTCCATATGATATGAACTTAAAATACCTCGTAATTAATTTCAGGCTATTCCTCGCCCCACCAAAAAATTCACTTACACTGAGGATAAAACCGGCTACGCGTGCAAAACTTGTGGAAGGATTATGCGGTCGAAGAATACTCTGGAAAATCACATCCGGATGAGACACACGAATCCTAAAGTTCTCACCTGCCGTGGCTGCCACGTGGTTCACGTCGACTCCAGAAAATTCAACCTGCACCTTCGGGACGACAAAATATGTCGAAAACTTGCCTTTGTCTGCCCGGATCCGATCTGCGAATATAGTTCAACCCAGGCGTTTTCCACCAAAAGTGCGTACAACATTCACGCCGAGTGTCGCCACTGGGTCGACAACGCCTTCCGGTGTGAGGTGGCGGAGTGTGGGCGTGTTTTCTCGACTTATCGAAAGCTCAAAATCCACGCCAGGGTACACCAAGACGAAAACGGGTAAGGGTTATGGATGGGTTTTGAATTGGAGGCGGTGCATAAATTACGCAAAAATCACAATTTTTCATAATCCCCCTCCCTCCCTCTATTTAATACTAGCGTATAAGCCCGTCTCCCGCCGGGTGAGAGACTATTATAAGATGATGCAAATGTCTCTAAAAAACGGAAATGAGTGACTTAATTTTTTAATTTTAAATTGATTTTGAATTTTCGCGCCATTCGAAACTTTCGCGCCATTCGAAATTTCTCCACTTTCACTTCCGTCACGGAAAATTACTTTTACTTCCGTTGCAGACAGACATTTCCAGCTTACATAGTCTCAACTTAAAAAGTGATAGAGTAGACGACTATATTAGGTTAGTTTTAAGGAACTTCAAATTTATTCTTATTCCATTGAAAAGCCAGTTAAATTTCAAGTAGAAAACATGTATCAAACTTGAAAATACATTCCACCTGTGACCATGAAAAATTGGTCACGAAAGAGAAAGCTCCATTAAAAATACGCACGAAATTAATTGACAAACTGTGTCATTCCCGGGTCAGAAATTTTTTTGTGACCCTGACGCATATATGGGGTTCAGAACAGACCTTTTCCTCAATTGTAATCAGTATTTGGTGGTGAAATTGTCTGCGGTTCGAAAATTCCAACGTTAAACCTAAAGTGCAAATGAAGTCAGAAATGTGGATTTTAATCCAGTTTTTCACGAATTTCGCTGTAAATGCTACTGTGGACGCCTTCACAAAGGTCGGTGGCTTTTCACCCGATATGGAATAGTTGAGGGGGTGCTCCAGTTTCATCAGGACGTTTATCAAATATTTTTTGAAACTATCTTCTCTCCTTAATCAAAGAAATTGGGCTGTTTTTGCTCAATTCCGCCGATTCCCGCCAAAACCATGAATGGAGCCTGACAAGATAACATTTTGACCTTTATTTTTTAATCAGCTAACCCATAGAATATTTGACATAAAACGTGTTAGTTTTTTCGTTGAAATATGTTCCTGTCGTAAAGAAATTATCACCGGTAAACGGGGTACTTTTTTTTGGTTTTTTCACCGTACCGTTTGAGGAGAGAGGTCGATTTTTTGACCATTTCTTAGGCTTGGGATATCTGTAGCATGTGACGCTTTTTAATCGAAAAGACCTTCATCTTAGAGTCACTTTTCAGTGTTAATCTGGTCCCTAAAGTTGAAAGGTCATTTATGTGGCCAAAGTCTCCGGCGTCAGATAGAGATTTTGTGCTATTCTGGTATTTAAAGCTTCGGACATCACTGTAGTCTTTCTTGACCTTGGACCACCGAAACCTTTATACCAAAGATAGACACTGTCTCTAGGATTACTTTAATAGTTTTGGCAACCAGATCGTAGTTGTACTTGGACTGCTACACTACATCAAACATTGTGCATTTTTTTCTCGTTCAAAAAGTGAAAAATTATTGCCGCGCGCGTGTAGCTAAGCTCCTCCTACTTTTGACCTAGTGACGTCAAGTCAAAAACGGTCAACACCAATGATAGGCACTGAATGTATGTACAAACCGCAACTGACCTTTTAATTTTATGTTGACCCGTTCAAAAACTACGCTCTACTATCACTTCTTATGGTAAGACTATGTATAATACAAGAAGATGTATAACACAGGCACAATATCAATACACCCCTCTCGCGTTACGTAATTTTGAACTGCGCAGTTGAGAATCACTAATAAATATCATTCCAACTAATAGTAGTGGCTTAGAGAGTTTGTAAACTGTCGAAACCATGTATGTTGCTTACTTAACTAAATGTTGGTAGAGTCTCCTTCTCTATTTTATAACATGAGGTGTTTTTTTGTATCACATATTATGATAAGATCAGTATAAAAAAAAAAAAAAAAATTTATGGACAGTCCATTTTTGTGTCATCTTTCCCTTCTTTCGTATAGAGACATTCTAATTCCGAGTTTTCAAAATTGGCGATCTCTTTTTACAAAAGGAAGATTTTTAAAAGTCGATAATTTTAGCTTTACGAGGTTAGAAGTTTATTTTTTAATTTGTTTTCAAACTTCTAAATCTACTTTGTAAAAAACGCGAGGAGCTGGCCAAGTTTCACAAATCGCAACTTACACACGAAAGAAGGGAAACTTGTGACAAAAATTCAAAACCGTCCGTCGTTGACATACATAACGACATTTCAGAAAGATCCAATTTGTCAAACTGACAAATATCTATGCGATGTTCCCAAACAAAAAAAGAAGATCGCGAAAAAAGAAGACCAAGATTCGGATGAAGAATGGACTTTGTCCAAGAAGTACTGACAAAATTTTCTCGATGTAGTTTTCCATTTTTTTTTACTGCCAAAGGAGGAATATATTTTTAACATTTCCACCTTTTCTATTTAAGTACTTGATTACTTGTCTTTTCAATTAGTAATTGATTTAAAATAAAATTCTGAATTTCAATATGTTACCTAATTCACATCAACCGATTAGGTCGGACCATATTTTTATTAGTGTCGCTCATGAACTCATGGTGGATTTTTAAGAGCAAAGTGAAAAGGGGAAGTATTTATGTGATTATCTGCCATAATTTACAAGCATACAGGCGTTTCTCATAATAATTTATATAGCTCTCTTGGTTAAATTCCTACCCACACAAATTTTGTATCAAGCGTATTTTTACACTCTTACAAATAATCTTACCATTTTGACAAGTAATAGCAGAAAAGCACACTGAATTCTAAATTAAGTGAACTGTACCAAATATAGCGTAAAATTTGCTCTTTATAAAATTAACGCTACTCTGGATTTAGCATACCTAGTTTACCCATGCAGAATTCTGTGTGTATTTACTTCTCAAAAGGGTAACATTTTTTTAAGAGTGTACTATAAAATAACGCCTTTTTATTTTACGTAATCATTCCAATGCTTTTGAATGAAATGACGTAACATCCGATAAAAGATAAAAAACAATGCCTATTGTTTCTCAATCAAGGATGTGCATAACAAGCCGTTTTTACGATATTGAAAACTGCTCGTAACCATGACAACTATTTTACAATTCTTTTTTAGTTAAGTATTCATTCTTGAGAATATGTACCTCAAAATTTTACTCGGAATCGTCATCATTTCTAGTGAGTCATTTTTTAAAATTTAAAATCACCATTGCTATCAAAGAAAGTGATTTTTACCCACTTCCTGTGACTGCATCGCGACCCTAATTAAATACAAATTTAATAAAACGCAGGCACCACAGGGCTGAGCCGGACATCCTGTCGCGTAAAATGGAATAAGTGCATGGGTATAATTTATAAACTTCCGGAGTTACCCTCGATCCACGCAGGATTGAACTTTTACAGAAATTGAGAATTCTGAGAAACTACGCCACTGGGAGTCTCAAAGTTCACCGTCATCATTATTTGAGGGAATTTGAGATTGGCAGTGCCGTAGTTTTTCGGAATTGTCAATCTCTATAAAAGTTCAACTGTGTGTGGATGGAGAGTATGTTTTCACGTAGGACACGATGACTCATCGTCAAAAGTGTCAAAATCAACATCATTCAATCATTTTTCGCTGGGAATTTATTTTAAAATTCCATCCGAATAATTTGTGGGAAGTAATAAAATGGCGATGAGTTTCTAAGCCAGTTTCGATAAGTTCCAATATTTCTGAATCTTCTATATTTCTTCTTAAATTTGATATCCCCTCCTCAAAAAGTGCCAAAATCTGGAGTGCATATTTTTTGAATAGGCAACAACATGCTCTACAAATTTGTCGGACAGAGTTTCAAAATAGATTCTCATAGCATGGTGGAAACGATTAAAATGTGCTGATTTTTACCGTTTGTCCGATGAGTCATCGATGTACGTTAAATAATTTTGTGAAATGTTTAGATGGTCGAGATCGACCAACCGTCAGTGAATGTGACGATTTCATTAGAAGAAAGTATGAATGTCCGCCGCCTGTTCTGGATCCCGAACCTGATCGAGATTCGGGACGAGCTTCTAATAAAAATGCGAAGGATGACGATTTTGAGGATCCGATACGTTCAGGACCTACACTAAGAAAGCCTTCGAGGGGAGATGAAGATCGTGGGGAATCTGGGGATGACGAAAAGATTGGCAAATATCGAGATCGAGGAAAAGATAGGGAAAGCTACCCGAAAAAGAAGAAACGCCCCCCTCCTCCTTCCGACTCGATCGAAGTAGACCAGAAAACAAAAACCACATCAGACTCAACAAGGTAAACGAGTTCGAAACCCGGTAAGATCAGTAACTTTTTGCATATATTTTTTTATGTTTCGGTAGTTCCAAGTACGAGAAAAGTATTGGACCATCACGTGACCGAGATCGTGACCGTCAAAGTGACCGTGGTCAAGAACGTGACCGCGAAGCTGACCGTGACCGTGAAACCGACCGTGGCAAAGACCGTGACCGAGAAAGCGACCGTGGCAAAGACCGTGACCGAGAAAGCGACCGTGGCAAAGACCGTGACCGAGAAAGCGACCGTGGCAAAGACCGTGACCGAGAAAGCGACCGTGGCAAAGACCGTGACCAAGAAAGTGACCAAGAAAGTGACCGTGACAAAAACCGTGACCGCGACCCTGACCGTGAGAGAACTCGTGATCCTGACCGTGACCGGCCCCGTGATGATCGTGACCGTCCACGTGAGCGTGACCGACCCCGTGACCGGGATCGCGATGACCCCCCAGATGACGACGAATTAGTTCGAAGACGTGACCGTGTGAAGAAAGAAAAGCAGAAGGTTTTCGTAAAAGAAGATCTCATAGAATTGGATGAAAAACCCGTGGAACCTGAGAAAAATAAGACCGCTGTTACCATAGCGACCACTCCAGCGCCAGTGGTTGCTCCTGCTGCACCCGCACCAGTGCCCCCACCTCCTCCACCCCCTCCACCACCACCAGCGCCAGCCGGTGGTGGTGGTGCCGCACCCATTCCTCCCGTCCCTGCAATCCCCGCACCTCCCGCTATGACAACCGCAGATCAAAAGAAAGCTGTTCATGCCGCAGTAGCTAAAGTTTTAGAATCTGGTTTATTTTAATTAATATCAATATTTTTTTTTACTTTCCGCCAAAAATAGATCTAGCACCTTGATCTTTTATTGTTCGAAACCGTAATGAATTTCCTTAGGTAACAGTGTGACTATCAAAATAAAGAACGCCACAAAATGCATATGGATTATGGTGACTAGTTTATTAATTATTTATTTGTACATGCATGCATAAATTTGGATTTCTTAAAATCTTGTGTAAGGACAATATCGCTCGAGATATTGGAAAGTTTTGTACAGACTTACGAAGGCCGACATGCATTGTCTCATTTTTAACCTTATCAACTTTAACATACCTATGTATAAAATGCCGCATGTGTTTCGTTTTCTAGAAAATCCGATTAAAATGTAATTAAATTATAATCAGCACGTTAAAAAAATTAGTAGTTGGAACGCGTATAGGGAATTCCCAGTTCATCATAGTCAGTCTCTGAATCATCGTAATTGAAGTCATCTTCGTCCTCCACATTTTCGAAGAATAAGTCTTCCACGTCTACCAGACCGTTCCTGATCACGGCCAAACTCTGGGCGGCGGTAGATTCGAAAATATCAATCACGTCCTGGCTGATTCCCTCGGCGAGATTGTTGAACGGATTGCAGGGATCCATAATAAGTGGGGTCTCGTTCCAGACCTCGTCGGGGACGGAGACTCGGCGGTAATGATGACCAAAAAATATTCGCAGGTTCGAGAAGTCCTCAAAAAATTGAAAAATTTAATCGCGTTTTAAAATTTCGAGTTTTTCAAAATTAGGTATATCGATTTCTAAAGGTTAGCAAATTATGGGGCAAATTAGAATTAAAAGAAACATGGGCGCCCAAGCCAGGAGACGGTTATGCTCGATACATACATATGTATGGTATATTGAGAAACCCGTTTCGTTTTATAATGCGAATCTGGATAAAAATGAATAAAAAATGAATGCATAATTTCTTCAAATTTTTAAACTAAACGAATTTTAAACGAATAAATTGTTTTTGAAGAGTAATATGAGCATTTTGTTTAAACAAATATGTTCTCATGGCGAGTTTTTAATAATTTTTAATTTTTTACCTCCATTTCGCGCAAGAATCGCACAAATCTGTTGAACAAGCTGCAAGTCGGTTGACCCTTTTGCGCCCAGCAAGCCACGAGTTCAATCATATAGCTCCGCCCCTTGACGTATTCGTCAATTTAGATCTGCTGATTCCAGTAGCCCGCAAGTTTGATGACTTTGACGATGTCGTCCGGCTTGTTTTTCATGAAAAGGATCGTCTGTTCGGCCAGGCTGGAGGAGAAGGCAGACGGGTTGGCGAAGTCCTGCATGCGACGACGAACCTCGATCGCTTGTTGTCGCGCCATATCGTCGGCGTGTCTGTAATAGTAAAAAAAGGAAAAATATGTTTTGACTATATTTTTTTTTACTAATATGCAAATATAAATAGAAAATGCAGCCTGGTAAAATCCATGAAGTTTCCCCCGATCGAAAAATTATTTTTTCCCCGAGTCCCCGGAAATGTTGTCGAACATTATCAGAGATTGACACAAGTTTTCGAGGAATTTATTTATGAATTTTCGCAATTATTCGAATCCGTGTAAATTAAGTTGCCTAACCGCTGGATAAATTTTACTAGTTGTGGTGTAATTAAATTCGTTATTTTTCTACGAATATGTATGGTACAACAAAAGGTACAAAATGAGCTAAAAGTGCAAGTCTTTTTCGCATCGATTTCACCAAATTGCACATAAAAAATTACAAATTCAGTTTTGGGTGGGGGGGATTAATATAACATAGCTTTTTTGAATTATATTCAACCACACCCCCTTCAAAAATTGGGGAAGAAAATTGAGAAAACTGAGAAGGTCAATGTACACTCGGTAGTACCGAGTGTAAATATGTACATATTTGAATTTGTTTGTAGGAAATTCCGGGGAAACTTTCATTTATCCTGGATTGTTGGACTTCTTCTAATCAATATGCATTCCAAGGTGTAATGTTCAAGGAATAACAAGGGAATGGGAACTCTTATCGATGCCTCTTGATTTAACCATTCTCCATGGATCGCATACCGGAGAAAACTTGGCGACCCAATTTATCAAAGTTCTGGAGGATTTCAACTTAATAAATAAGGTGCACTCCATCACAAGCGATAATGCCTCCAACATGACAACCTTTTTCGCCCATTTTAAAAGACTTATGTTAGAGAAGATACGATGACTTAATTTCGTTGTAAAAAATTACATAAAAATTGTATTCTAATTTATATAATTTTCTTAGAATGTTGACTTCAACATTGATGATTTTCGCGTTCGATGCTTGGCGCATATCCTCAATCTGGTTTGTCAGGTGGCTTTGGATAGTTTACGGGACATGTCGGAAGTTGGTCCAAATGTTGATGATCTCGATGCTAAATCAGATGGGAAAATGGTGCCTGTTCTAAATAAGGTTGGCGACTACAATACAAGAATAAGAAAATGTAATTAATAATCCCCTAATTGTTGTCTTAGCTTGACAAGTGCGTCGGATTCGTTCGAGCTTCACCTCAGCGCACACTGGTCTGGATTGCTTTGTTTGTTTGCCAACACCTCTAGCTCTCGAACCATTTATTTTTTTCGAGTTCTGCCTGCGGGGATCGAGATATGAAGTTCCAAGGGGTATAAGCTATGCAACCCTCATTGAAGCCACACCCCTTTGGGGGTGTGGTCTCAGGTGAATATTTATTTTCTTGCATTACCCCATCAAGTGGGGTGTCATTTGAAAGGTCTAATCAAGCTCTAAACAACTCCGACTATTATTGGGTCATTATGGGCACACCCACCGCCAGGGGGTGTGGTCAAAATGCAAATTTGAAAGTTTTGTTTCGATAATTTTGAGAATGTTTTTTCATAAAATGACAATATTCTATAATTTTATGAAGTATTTCTGCCCCCTAACTTAGTTAACAATGAAAATAGGACCAAAATTATAAATTTAGTTATGCCTCCTCAGGGGGTCACCACTTCATAAAATCCCCCCGCTCGTAATAAATTTTTTAGAGGGGTGTGTTTTATCATATTTCCTTCGTCAAGGAATGGGCAACATATTTTGGAGCGATTGTGTTATTTGGAACACTCGAAAATTTCATACGTGACAATGATTGGAGCATTCCAGATATTTTGCGTATGGCAATTTTCAATTACATACATTCAAATCTCTCTGCCTATTTGTAATGGTGGCAGCTGGTGGCAGCAGTTTTTGTAGATTAAATACGGGGGATTAATAATACATTTACGGTTCCTCACAAAAGCACAGGAATAGACAGGATTTTCAACTTGAAGTTTTCCCCATTTAGCCCAATGTTATCAGTCAAGTTTGAGTATACGCCACGCCTTCACCCGTTGAACAATCCAAATGAAACTTTCCAAAATTGAATATCTATGTCAAAGGTACTGAAGGGGGTACTTCGTTTTCTAATCGGTGAGAATAGGTTTTGGCCAATAAATTCAATATTCCGGACCAACGTGCAGCGGAGGGAACAATTCAGAAGTCAGTGCAGAATTTTTGGACTAGCGGAAAAGGAATTGCTTTTGGATATTCGGACGAGATGGAACTCTACACTTTTAATGATGGAGAGGGCATTAGAATACCAGAAGGTAACATCGCTAAATAATGCAGTTCGAAACCCATGCAGTTAATGGTGAGCTCGACGAGTCATCAGCAAATTTTCAAAATCACATTTTTCTTTATTTCTCGGCTACGGGAAAGTAAGAAATCATTCAGATAAGTTACTCGAACTTATCGAAATTGGCTTAAAAGCTCACCGTCATTCTAGTAATAAATTTTTTTACTTCAAATTTGTAGCGCAGAATTATAAACTAAATTTCTAGAGCCGTAAAATTATTTAAAATGTTCTGATTTAAAAAATTTGGGTGAAGAGTCACTGCATCTAAGGAATTGTGAATATTATTCTAGCCGCTGGAATGCACACTTCGTATGGAGTCAAAATTAGTTGGCTGGATTCTTACTCCAGAACAGTGGAAAATGGTCTCTAATATGATATATTTTTTACAGGTTTGGTTATTACAAATTTTTAATTGTAATTTTTGTATAAATTAACCCTACTTGATGTGACAGATTAATATATGCATGTGCATACTATGCATGGGTATATAGTTATACATTTTGGAATTATATAGCCCTTCAAGGATATGACGGAGCTTATGTCAAGGCAGGATTTCCCCACAATCTCCTTTTGCTCATTGGTTTACTCTAAAATCTTCTTACATTTGGAGAAATACCGGGTGGATGCTAAACGGAAATTGAAAGCCATTGACCCAAAAACCGGAAGACCATTTCCTACTTGGCTCCGAAATGCGGCAAAAGAAGCCAATGATAAACTGGAGAAATATTATCCATCATCGAAAGGACTTGTGTATATTGTTGGAACAGGTATTTGTTTTTCTACGATTTTAGTTAGTTTACATATGCAGTTTGAAGTTATTCAACTCGAATAATCAGCATAATTAAGTAATTAAAATAACCCTTTCATAAATTTTTTTACCCAAAATAAAAAAAAATGTCTAAAAATGTTTAAATCCAAATTTTATGTTTCATCTAGTGCTCGACCCTCGATGTAAAACTGAGTGGTTCTCATCAGTTGGATTCAATTCTAAAGATATTGAATCCGAGGACAACGATTTGTTTCTGCAATTTCATAGAAGTCAAAATATCAATGGTAACGAGATTGCTCGATACCTGTCGCAACCAGTGATAAGCCCGAACGCACTAAACAATGGTGCATTAGGGTGGTGGAAGGTAACAATTAACCTTTTGAAAACATGTCCCCAAAATGTCACGTTTTTGTCCTTTTAGAACCACGAATCCGACTACCCAACACTCTCAAAAATGGCCAGGGACTTCCTGACGGCGGCAGGTGCAGGTGCAGGTGCAGTTCCTGTGGAGCGTTTATTTTCCTCAGGATCAACGCTATTAACTCCAAAAAGGCAAAAAATGTCGCCATCAACAATCCAAGAGTGTATTTGTACGAAGGGTTGGATAAAGGCAAATTATCAGGAAATTTTTAAAAAGGATCTTTGTGTCGCGGTGGCTGATAAAATGAGAGGAGAATAATATTTAAAATTTGTTAAAACATCCTTTTTACATAA